GCCTTGTTCTTTGCCAATTCCTTCAATGCACCTTGGACTTCCTCCTTCAGCATCATTGGCTCTTGATCGTACACTACTGCTTGAAATGGTAGAACATTAACCATTTCCTTTTGGTACAGTGAATCTGTGTATTCCTTCCATCTTCTTTTCATGCTTTCTGCCTCATTCAATAATTTGCTCAGAGAGTCTTTCAATAATGAAAGTCGAGGATTCAATTATGACTTCAGTTCTCCCAGCTTGAGAAATGCTGAGTGTGTTCTTCCTTTTTGGTTTTCTGATTCCAGATCTTTGCACATTTCATTGTAATATTAGGCTTTATCTTCTCGAGCTGACCTTTGAAAATTTCTGTTCAGCTCTTGGACCTCCTCATTTCTTTCAATGGCTTTAGTTTCTCTATGCTGGAGAGCAAGTTTCAGTGTCTCCTCTGACGGTCCATTTTGACCTTTTCCTTCTTTCTTGTCTTCTCACTGACTTTTTGTTGTCTTCATGTATGATGATCTTGATGTCATCCCACAACTCTTCTGGTCTTCTGTCTTTAGTGTTTAATGTATCAAATCTGTTCTTCAGATGATCTTTAAATTCAGGTAGGGTATATTCAAGGTCATATTTTGGCTCTCATGGACTTGTTTTCATTTTCTTCAGCTTCAGTTTGAATTTGTCTGTTCCACAGTCTGCTCCTGGCTTTGTTTTGACTGATGATATGGTGCTTTTCCATATGTAGATCTTCCTTGTAGGCGCATGGATATTATCCTATCACAGACAGCATTGTACCTCATGACTGATCTATATATGTTCTGTTTGACAATGAAGGCAACACCATTCCTCTTCGTCATTCCTGGCATACTAAACCATGTGGTTGTCAGATTCAAAATGGCTAATACCAGTCTATTTCAGCTCACTAATGCCTAAGATATCGATGTTTATGCTTTCCATTTCATTTTTGACAACTTCCAATTTTCCCCAGATTCATTTTTCGTGCATTCCATGTTCCGATTTTCAATGGATTTTTACAGCTGTTTCTCTTCATTTTGAGTTGTGCCCCATCAGCAAATGAAGGTCCTGCGGGCTTTTCTCCCAGGAGCTTAACTCCATTCGCGTCATCACGGTCAGCTGTACTTTGAGGAGGCAGCTCTTCCCCAGTCGCATTTTGAGTGCCTTCCAACTTGAGGTTCTCATTTTCTGGCACTATATCTGACAGTGTTTCTCTTCTATTCATAAGGTTTTCAGTGACTAAATGTTTGGATACTTCATCACTCCTTCTTCCTAGTCTTTCTTCGTCTGGAAGCTCATCTGAAACCTGTCCACCATGGCTGACCCTGATGGTATTTAAAATACCTGTGGCATACCCCTCAGAATCACAGCAACTCACAAGCCACTACAGTATGACAAACTGACAGACGAGTGGTGGTTGGACATCTTTAGGGGCCATTATTCAACCTACTTTGTGGGAACTGGAGAAAATGGGACTGGAAAAGTACGTAGGGGTTGGGCCAAGAAGGATTATGGATGTTTTGCTAAAGATTTTCTTCCTTTAATTTTATAAATAACAAAAGTGCCACTGATGGGTTTAAATAAGGATAACTAAAATTTGCAATTATAAAGATTGCTCTAGTAGGGTATTGAGTTGTTGTTAGGTGCCACTGAGTCATAGAGACCCTTTATAGGATTTCCACAGAAAGGCTGATGAATTTGAACTGCAGGCTTTCAGGTCCAGTGCTATCCTATCCTATGGTGCCACACTGTAGGCTGTGTTAATGTTACTTACCCTCAAGTTAGCAGCTCTGCACAACAGAGGAAAGAAACACTGTCTGGTCCTTCCCTATACTCAGAGTTGTTTCCTTTTGCTTTGTGACTTGAGCAAGGAGTCCTATGTGGCACTGCAGGTTAATGCGCTGGCCTGCAAGGTCGGTTTGAACTGCAAGGTCGGCAGTTAAAGCTCACCTGCGGCTCCATGGAAACCCTATATAGGGTCTCTGTGAGACAGAACTGACTCAAAGGTACTTAACAACAACAAAGATGTCCATGTCCTAATTCCCAGAACCTGAGAATATGTAATGGTAATGAAAACATAAAAGTTGTAGAAGAAACTGAGGTTGCTAATCATTTGACCTTATATAAATTATTTTGGACGTTCTAGGATGCTGAATGCCAGATATCAGAGTGGAATAAAAAAGTGAGAAAGATTCAATCGACCATTGTTGACTTTGAAATGGAAGCAGGTCAAAAGCCAACTAAGGATCGTTTGGTGTGTCTCAGTGCCACTATCAGCTATGTATGGCCAATTATTTCTTGCTTAGTTCACAAAGGCTCAATACAGGGAAGTTGATAACACTTTTCTTGTATTGTCACCTGAGTGCGGGTCCTTAAGGCAATTACTTTATCTGGGGCTCATGATATTTACATATAAAGACAAGTAAAATACTCATCTAATTACTTCGGCTTCTAGTCTGACATAAAACGACTTTAAAAAGGTAACATTTTAATTGACACGACAATGCATAAAGTAAATCAAACACATAAATAAAATGTGTGTACTGCGGTAAAATGAAAATCTGCAGTAGGCGTTGAGAAGGGCAGGCTTTCGCCTTGGGTCAGATAGTACAAAGTGGTAGCGCTCTTTCGTGTTGCCTGGGGCTCGCTTTTGCGCAGGGCCACGTGTTAAGTGTTTTAGCTAAATCGCGCGTCGGGCCCTCTGTAAACGGTTAATAACCGCCTTCCTAGACTAGGCCTCTACCCTCCATCTTTGCGAGGACAAGAGGAGGGGCGCGGACGCCAGGTGTAGCGACCCGGCAGAGACGGCGGGTAAACCTAGGCCCCCAAACACAACAGTCGAGTTTTCAAAAAGCCCGCGCGTGGCGCCCCAGGCCGTATCCGTTGGGAACGGCCCCCAGCGCAACTCCTTTCCCTCCCCTGCCAAGGCACAGGCGGCAGGAAGCGCAGGAGTGGAAGGCTGGCTCCGCACACAGGGGACGCCGGGGCCACAGCGCACCAGGGAGCGCGCCCGTTCAGCGGCTCCCGAAAACGGAAGTGGGTGCGAGGAGATCGCTCTGATTGGCTAAATTGCCATGTCTCTCAAGGGGCTGGCGCGAACGCCACTGCGGAGTTGGGCGAGGAGATCAGGAAAGGGGAGGGGGAGAACCACTGGGAACAGCCGTGGGGCTAGGAGGGAATGAATCGCGGGGACGCGCGGAGGATAGGGAGAGTTTCTCTTTAGGGCGCATTAGAACGTCAGGGAGTGGTTATGGAGCACTAGAGGCGGTGGCATGAGCAATTGGGCCCAAGGTTTGAATACACTGCGGAGGGCGGAGAGCCCTGGGTCGAGAGCGGCGCTGCGGCGCGAGAGGCGGGCCTAACAAGAGCAAGGCGGGGATTGGCGGGCAGCCCTAGGCTGCCGTACGTCGGCGGTGACGCACGCCTCCGGGAGGGTGCGCGCGCGTCCAGCGGCCTCTTTGTGTGGTGCCCAGATAGGGGAGCGGAGGTGGCGCCGGCGGTAGCGACTGCCTTGGTTGTCTTCCCGTCTCCTCAGCTCGCCCTCTAGCCGGAACCTCTCCCCTTCCCTCCCTTCCTTCCTTCCCTCCCCTTCCCTTTTTCCCTTCCCCGTCGGTGACCGGCGGCGGCGGCAGCGGCTCCAGCAACGGCTGGGCCCAAGCTGTGAAGAGGCCTTAGCCCACGATAACGGCGACGGCGAAACCGCGGAGCTCGCAGGGCGGGGGGAAGGCCCGTGCCGTGGAGATGGAGAATTCTCAGCTGTGTAAGCTGTTCATTGGCGGCCTCAACGTGCAGACGAGTGAGTCTGGCCTCCGCGGCCACTTTGAGGCCTTCGGGACTCTGACGGACTGCGTGGTGGTGGTAAACCCCCAGACCAAGCGCTCCCGTTGCTTTGGTTTCGTGACCTACTCCAATGTTGAGGAGGCCGATGCCGCCATGGCTGCCTCGCCCCACGCCGTGGATGGCAACACGGTGGAGCTGAAGCGGGCGGTGTCCCGGGAGGATTCGGCGCGGCCCGGCGCCCACGCCAAGGTTAAGAAGCTCTTTGTCGGGGGTCTGAAGGGAGACGTGGCGGAAGGCGACCTGATCGAGCACTTCTCGCAGTTCGGCACCGTGGAGAAGGCCGAGATCATTGCCGACAAGCAGTCGGGCAAGAAGCGCGGCTTCGGCTTCGTGTATTTCCAGAATCACGACGCGGCCGACAAGGCCGCGGTGGTCAAGTTCCACCCGATCCAGGGCCACCGCGTCGAGGTGAAGAAGGCCGTGCCCAAGGAGGATATCCACTCCGGCGGGGGCGGCGGCGGCTCGCGCTCCTCCCGGGGCGGCCGGGGCGGCCGAGGTCGCGGCGGCGGGCGAGATCAGAACGGCCTGTCCAAGGGCGGCGGCGGCGGTTACAACAGCTACGGGGGCTACGGCGGCGGCGGCTATAACGCCTACGGCGGCGGCGGCTCGTCTTACGGCGGCAGCGACTACGGGAACGGTTTCGGCGGCTTCGGCAGCTACAGCCAGCATCAGTCCTCGTACGGGCCCATGAAGAGCGGCGGCGGCGGGGGCGGCGGCAGCAGCTGGGGCGGCCGCAGTAACAGTGGACCCTACAGAGGCGGCTATGGCGGCGGCGGGGGCTACGGAGGCAGTTCTTTCTAAAGAAAAGAGAAAGGCCTGGGAGTGGCTCTAGGGGTAGCGCTTCCAACCGCCCAACTGGGGTCACTTCTGAAGTCCCCTCCCTTGCCCACAGCCTTCCCCATTCTGCCCTGGGGGGAGCCGCTCTGGCTGCCTCCCCTTGGGGGGTGTTGCCCTATTTGCCTGCCACCTCTCTTGTCTCTCCCTCTGAAGATGGACTCGGCCCCACATACACATTTTTGTGTTACAGTCATTGATGGACTCTATTTTTTTATTATTACTTGGACCTTGGTCGTTTTTATACTAGCAAAATGTCTTGTTTTAATTTGTGGTTTTTTTTTTTGGTGGGGGGGAGTGAACTTGCTGATTCTGTAGCAAAACCTGGGCGGGGGTTGGGGTGGGGGGTAGTTTACTTTGTTGTAAGGACTTGATACCTGGCTACAGCGTTTTCTAAGAAATCTACTTGGATCCCATGCCTGAAATTTGGACGCATATGTAAAAAAAAAATTCATTTTTACGTTTTATTTTTAATAAATCATTGTGTTTGACCGTACAAGTCTAACCTTTTTTTTCTAGGATCCATTCCGTACCGATTTAAGGAGTATTAGTTGAAGATTTTTCGTGTTGGTTCTTAATTCTTGATGTGTACTTAGAGAAACTTTTAAGAAGTCCTGTGGGATTTTTGGTTTTGTTTGCTTTAATTTTTTTTTTCCTGTTGGCCTGCTAGTGACTGAATTTTATCCCTTTAAGGCAAAACTTTTGAAGTGGTGGATGTGGCTTTTTAAAATCTTAAGTTTCTGTGCATCCATCTCTTGTATTAAGCGATATGCTTGTCATCTTGACATGGTCACTTATTTCTATGAGAATTTACTTCAAAGTATGTACTGTGTAGTTCTAAATAGTTTGTGTTAAGCATGTGTTTTCATTCATATAAACTGTTTAAAATTTTTTCAGATGGCCTAGTTTCAGCCCTCTTCCTGGTTTGACTGTAATGAATGGTTACAAATTAGGGTTATATTTTGCCCTTGAACTAAATGCGTTTTTGTATTTTCAGAGCAGGTTTAAACGGCTTTTTCTCCCCTCCCCCCACCCCCAATACCTGAACTGTTGTCCTCATGGAAATCCTTACCCCACAACCTTTGTAGCACCATCTACTGGCAGAATGGCAGTATATCTGCAAAACAATTTGTTTAAAAAAACTTGCTTAGGACAATTGCATCAGATTGGGATGTTTTGACATCAAAAATCTGTGCAGACTTGGAAGTTATCACATTTACTTATAATTGAGATGGGCTTCACAGGAATGTAGTTGAGTCTATTTTACAGTTGCCCTTTCTACATGAGTTTTGAAAATGTAAACTGTTAATGCATAGCGTGGGCAATAGCCCTAAATTGCTATGCCAACAAATGAACCAGCTATGTGTACTGGTATCTTAGGTGCAAATTGTAAAGCAAAATATCTGTATTCTGCTTGGTTAACAAATGTATATTTGTAGCCCTTTCATGCAATAGAATTCAAGTTGTTGTTTATAAAAAAAACAAAACAAAACTGATAATAGGAGAAAATTGCCTTCCTGGATAGAAATATAGAATAGCAACGTTTAATGGATATCGCAAATAAAGAATTCAATTCTTTACGTGATTGAGTGAGACTATGTATAACCTGGTGGGTGGGTTCAGAGTACCAATTAATGTAGTCTATTTAACTTGATTTGATGTCAGAATATTTGACTTAGGTCTTAAAGTTGAAAGCCAGAAGGTATACTAAGAAGCCTTCAAAAAAGTAAAAGTATTTTAATGTTGACAGTTTTTCTTTGTGGCACTGTAGGACAAGCACCAGACTGCTAACAGCAAGGGTGGTGGTTCAAACTCATGGGCACCCTGTACAGAGTCGCTGTGTCATTGTCACTATATAATTCTTAAAGTCATTTGCAGTTTTTTTTTCCTCATTGCCAAGACTGCTTTCAAAGGAGCTCTGGTAACGTGGTTAAGAGTCGGGCTCCTAACCTCAAGGTTTGCAGTTAAAAACTACCAGCCATTCTGCTTTCTGCTCATCTTTACGGCCTCGGAAATCCCGTGCAGGGTTGCTGTAAGTTGGAACCAACTCCACAGTACTAACAACAAGAAGATTGCTTTCAAGAGGTGTGAGCAAAGGTCAAGATTGCTAGGTTAGGTTATATGACTGCTTAATATTCACTCTGACAAAGGATACCTGATGCTTGGTATTAATTCAGTACATCTCTGACAAATGGGATAAATGTACAATAAACAGCCAAGTTTTTTGCTGTCAAGTGGTTCTTCAGATTGGGTCATTTGGTTTTGCAATTTGGGGACTTGCTAAAAGTGGAATTGAGTCACTTTTCATAGCGACCTTCTATAGGCGGTCCTGGTGTGGCACTAGAATAAGTACTGCTAACCGTAAGGTCAGTGATTCAAATCCACCAGCAGGTACTTGGAAACGTGATACAGGTTTGCTGAGTCAGAACCAATCTGCACTTAATAGGGTTTCCAAGGAACAGCTGGTGGTTAGCAGCCCAGTGCTTATTTTACAGTTACACTCCAGGACTCCCTGGTTACCTAGGGCACAGGAAATGTCTAAGAACTATGTCTTAAATTGCTTTCTGCTGGGTCAAAAATCTACCAGGGCGGGGGGTGGGCTGGAGGTAGGAGGGTTAGTTTTCAAAGTCTGGGAAGATTATTTTGTATTCCCAATATATAACCAAACTAGTTGCTGTAGAATTGATTATAGCTCAGTTTCTTGTAGAATGGGGCAGTGCTATTTTCAAAGCAGGCCTTTTCTCCAAGGTACTTCTGGGATGGGTTTAAACCTTCTGACTTCCCAGGGATTCCTAATCCAACATACTTCTAAAAAGTTATCTAACAAATGAATCATATAAAAAGTTTTTACTAGGAACGATTAGCAACCTGATGTTCATAGTATATTAACACTTCGTTGTAATGTGTCTATACCTACTCATACATTTTTATAATGTAGGGATAAGTGGTCAGCCTCAAGGTTGGTTTGAACCACAAGGTTTTGGTGTTTCAAACTCACCAGCCACTCCTCGGAAACCCTAAATAGGGTTTCTATGGGTCAGACCCAACTTAACAGCACTTAAACTACTACCAGTCTACTACTAAGTAAGGAGAAACTGGTATTGAGGTTTTTCCTGGGGGACCTTATGCAAACATCTTGGGCATGTGATTTTTTTTTTTTTTTTTTAAAGGCAACTGATTTGACTTCACCTCTGGCAACTGTTCTTGATGACATTATTTCCAATTTGACTTTGAAGATTTAATGGGAGAAGGTAGTCAGTATTGAATATAAATTTTACACCATGGACTAGATGCTTGAATCTAATTTTAAAGATTGGCAAAGTAACAACCTCATGTTTTATATTTACAGTGTTAATTTTAAAGGTAAACTCAATGATAGTGGTGTTTAATGATTTCAAATATTTTAAGCTTGCTCTTTAAGTACTCTCGAGTCATTTCTGACTCTGACCCTATATAGGATGCCAGGGAGTGGGGATTTGAACTACCACCCTTATGGTTAGCAATTGGTTCAGTGCTGACCCCACAGTGGCACACCAGGATTGTGGTTAAGTGCCATCCACTTGATTCCAACTCATGGACCCTGTATAGGATTTCCAAGTTGGATGGGAGCCGTCAAATCGTGTTGAGTTCTATAACCTAATGATTTGGAACATTCTAAATTTACTTTAAAAAAAAAAAAAAAAAGAATTTTTGTTTCTAAGCAAGGTTAAAGACTGAGGATCCTTGATAGTTTATTATTTTCTTCAAGACCAGAAGAAATGACTGTTAACTGATTTGTAAATTGCTTACCTTTAAGTATACTTAAGTTTCTCAGATTTCTGAAATCTTTACCCGATTGAAAGTGGATGTTTGCTTGTTGAACAGGTTTGAGTAGAACTGTATCAGAATTGGTTCTTATATATAGAAAGGCATTTACACTTAAACATGGCAAGTCTCTTCCATTTTTACCAACTTAGGAGTCAGTGAATTTGATAGTTTGTGAAAATTCCCTCTTCTCTAGCTCTGGTTTTGTCTTCTGAAAGGGCAACAACAGTCTGTTTCTAAAACAGGACAGTGTTGTTTTGGTTTATTTTCTAAGTGACTCTATTCTGATGTGCCTCATTTAATTATTTCTATCTATTAAGAGTGAAAATGCATTGCAATTTTTTTTTTTTCAGTGAAAATCCCCTTGAAAGAGCAGCCAAAACCTAAGAGACAGTTTCTACTATGTAAGTTTCAAAATTATAATATTGCCTAACCTCTGGACTGCCCTTTAAATCTTAGAAAATGGCAATTATTACTAGGAAGTACAAAACAATAAACGGGCTTCAAAAAGTTGGTGGAAAAAACACCATTATCTTTTCATTCCAATTTCCCAAGTTTGAAATCAATTAAAATTCCACCAATATGCGAAATCCTCCCCACCTTGCTCAAATGTAATCACTGTTAATAGCTGCATTTCCAGCTATATCATTTTGTTGTGTATCAAAGATTTTTATATAGGATTATATCATTTTACAGTTTTTGTGCCTTGACCATTTCTGCTTATCAATATAAGTAGTCCTGCTTCTTGGTGTGGTGCTGTAGAATAAGCACTAAACTATTAAAGGTTGATGGTTCAAATCTACCAGCTGTTCCTCAGAAACCCTATACAAGGTCATTATGACTCAGAACTGACTCGACAGCACTTACCGACAACTTCAAACTTTTTAAATGTCTGTAATTCAGAGTTTTACTTACCATAATTTTAAAAACATTACTCTCATGAGTATGTGGTTTCTTCCGTTTCTTGCTGTTGAGAATAATGCAGTGGTTATTTTTGCACTTAAATTCTTGCTTATCAAATTATATTTCTTAGACTATGAAATAGCTATCAATGCTAAATGTGCTAGATGATGAGAATGCAGCAGGTCCCTGGTATTTTTAAATTCTCAGTATAAACATAGAAAAGGTGCTCACTAATCAGTGGCTTTCGATGAAACAATGATTTGAATTGGGACCATTGCTATCTTCGTTTTCTCTAGTTCTTTTCCTGTGGTGATGGTGGTTGTGTGCCTGTGGAGTCAGTTCTGACTCATAGTGACCCTGTATAGGGTTTCTGAGGCTATAAATCTTTACAGAAGCAGAAAGCCTCACCTTTCTCCTGAGGAGTGGCATGGGAAGTCATTTTCCTATAGGTACAAGCATATTTGTCAAGTTTTTCCATACATGTTCACATGTATCTCTTAAGGAATTTAGTTATTGGCTGAAGAAATAAAGCTACCATTTATTTACTGTACATGTTCCAGCATGTTGTTATATACATTTATTTTAGTCCTCAATTATTACTGTTAAGTGCAGTTGAATCTGACCCATAGCTACCCTGTATAGGGTTTCTGAGGAGCAGCTGGTGAGCTTGAACCACCAACTTTATAGTGCAAACAGCTTTGCAGTCTGGGTGCGTTAACCCGCAGTGCCACACCAGGGCTGTATTGTTAAGTGCCATCGAGTTGGTTCCGATTCAGCGACCCTGTATAGGGTTACCAAGGAGCGACTGATGTCTTTAACGCCATTTGACATAGTAGCTGATTGCTTACCTAAGTTACATAACTTGCCTAAGGACTTGTGGCTGTTAAGAACGAGAAATTCGGATCTTTTGTGTGTCTGGTTTTAGGCCAGTGCTTTAGGAATTTCAAGTGTCAATTTAGAGGAAAATTTTTAAATGATTAACTTTATACTACTGTGATTTTTTTCAAAATTATGAGTCTTTTTAAAGGTAATATTTTAAGGTAAAAAGATTACCATTTTCTTCCATTGTCCAGAGATTACCAATGTTACGATTGTCTACTTTTATTTGCCTGAATAAAATACATGTAAAATCATCCTTTTTTGGAACAAATACAGAATCTATAAATACATTTGTATATACACATACATTTTGATATCAAATACATCTATATTTGTACATATGACCCTGTATAGGGTTTCTGAGGAGTGGCTGATGTGTTTGAAAACACTCATTGACCTTGTGCTTAACAGTCCAGTACTTATCCTATAGTGCTACACCAGGACTCCACTGTTGTACTAACCAAAAAGTTGGTGATTCGTATCCACCCAGAGGCAACTTGGAAGTAAATCATGGTGATCTGCTTCTGAAAGTTTATAGCTGTGGAAAACCATGAAGTGCAATTTTGTATTGCCATGGGTTAGAATGGAATAGACTTGTCACCTACCAACAATAATACGTTGCCATTTACAACACTGGAAGAAAGTAGAAGGTATATCTTCCTGGCTGAAATCATAGTACAGTGATATCCAGATAAATAGATCTTTAGGAAATCTGCTAGAGCCCTACAAGGAATTGTTGCATATTCAACAGGCTTTTAACATTTCAATTTTCCTTTGTCATCCTTCCTCCTTCCCCCCAAATTCTGTGTTTTAATTTTTTTTAGATGTGAAAGCCATAATTTAAAAATACTGTAACTTGTCTCCGTCAGAAATTGTCTTTAATTGAATTTTCAACGATGTATTAAATATTTTCCTGAAGATGCTCTTGTGAAAGCTCAGAGAATAACAGATTGGGAAGTGTCTCTTGGGAGAGGTTTGCTCTGGATCACAGGTGGGCAACACCAAAAATCGGAATTTTGAATGAATGTGGATTCAGATGTTACATTTAGTAAGTCAACTTAAGTGTTCTGTGGACTTCATACTCCTGTGATGTGAAGTCTATAATTACTTAGATCTTTTCCAACTTTTATTTTTTAGTAATAATAGAAATGGCCTCGAAGA